GAAATGGATGAAAAAGCTCTACATTTTCATGACAGAACTGACTGTTCAAACCACATACGATTATCTAGATTTTTCAAACCATTGTTAAATCTGTATACTATTTATACTGAAATCCCCAAATCCAATTACTAGCTTTATTAAAACTAAGTATTCTGTTGACAGCTTATTTTTATAGTAATTTTTTTCAGCAGAAACTGTTTAAAGCTGTAGTAAGAGTGAATAGCCCATAGACATAATAGGAGTAGTAGTAATATTAATACTAATTAATATTAAAATAAAGTTAAAGGAAAATTAATCTGTGTGGATTAAGATATAAGCATACCTGCGTGTTTCTGGTTTTCTTCTGTGAATTTTAACTTTGTATGCTTAAATACATAGCAAAGAATGGGTGGATCTTAAAAGCACTCTTGGAGCTCACTCAGTTCTTTTCAGCAAATAACGTGTTAAAAACAAATCTGAAAGCTATACAGATTTTTGCCAGGCGATTAAAGAACTGTTATATACTCTAGAAGATACCTGCAAAGGTGGAAGATGGATGGTTGCAGGGAAATACGCCTGTTCATCCATAAAAGAAAATTCAGAAACTAAAGAGGAAGCAGTCCTAGCGCTCAAGTACTGGAGGTCACTTGGAACAGTGAAGCCATTGGCTTCTGGGCAGGCTCTGAAACCATTTCTCTTCATCCTTCAAGGGCACTTCTCATGGGAGAGGCAGCAGTTCCCAAACCTGCCTGTCAGGACTGAGCTGGCTCACCACATAGTCAGGTGGCCAGCAGAGACAGTGCAAGTGGGGACTGAAGAGAGAGAACAGGGGAGCAAGATCTGCCCTTTTGCTGGCAGTACATTTTATTTGTGTCGTCCAACCGTATCCGTACTGGGACTGAGAACAGTAAGAAGGTGGCAGTGGGGCTGTATCCGCCTTTGGAGTTGTGCTGTCAGCAAATTCATTTGCAAATTCAAGCTCAGAATGATGAAATTCACCTCTGTCATTTTATCACTAAGTCTATGAAGTTGCTTGCCAGAGATTTCTCTTTCCATGTATTTTTAAAGACTTACTAGAGGAAATACCTCATTTCTGCTAGATGGGATTATTACTGAGATTATTATTCTGGCCTCACTTCTGCACCAGAGCAGTGAATCATTTAAGAAAGGTGGAAGGTTTTTGGCTTCCCATGCCTTGATAATTGACTAATAAGTGATTTTTAGAAGAAGCAGATTTAGGTGCTCTGGGTCTATAGCAGCAGTAGAAAAAATCGTTCTTCTTATAAAGGCAGTCTAACCTGGTTTTGGATTCTCCTCATTGTCACTAGAAATTGGGAAAATAAAATAATTTCCTGTACTTTTAAAGTTACAAGTTGAGAACATCTCCTTCTGAACACCAATGGCTTTTTAGAGGTCTAACATTGCATGTTTCAAGTTAGGATTAAAGATAATATTAAAAAACTCCATCTTTACTCCAAATAATTATGTTAATCAGATAAAAACATATAGTTTGAAAATTACAGGATCTGCCATTTTCCAAATGCAGTACTTTTAAACAGAAGTTAAGGAATAAGCCATTTAGTAAAATGAAGATGAGACTTTGGTTTGCTTAGAGAAAGCTCCTGTCTTTCAGCCGTAGTTTCGTGCTTTGTTATGCAGAAAGTCTAAATGTTACAGAAAATTTCTTACTTCTTGTTTTACCTTTTAAAGATCCTGAGGTGGTTTTGCTTTCTTGCACTAAAATTTCCAGCAGAGGGAGCTTTACTATTACGTTTAGTAAAAAAAAACAGCTTTACTGAATAATTTTCATCTACAGTCTGAAAAAATGTGAGACCGTTGTGGTTTTTATTTTTTTAATGGTGTGAATTCATGACATCTTAATATAACAATATAAAAGGGGCAGAAAGAGCAAACCCTTTCCGAGAAAGAACATTTCCATACATAGTGTTACAGAAAAAGGGACAGGGAATAAAATTCCAGGAAAACTTCTCCTTTTCCCAAAAAAACATAGTCTTTGAATTTCCCTTTTCAAGCGTGATCTCATCAAGATTTCCAGGCTTCACAGTCTTTCCTTGTTGTGATGGAGTGCCAGGGATGGACACACCAATAATCTTTATTGCTTTGGAGAAGCTCTCATTCTTTTTCCTGGCACAGACAATGCATTAAATGAACAAAATGTAAATGTGGAAAGATGATTATTCTGTCACAAGATAACACAATTATAGTGTTCTCTGTATTTAATGCAGGGTTCATTTGGTAGCTGAACAGAATACTGAAACCTATTCTGTTACTGTTCCAGTCTATTAATTTTTGGGTCATAACAGTGCACGTGCAGATACTCAGAAATTAAGATGAGACTATTCTACTTGAAAATGCATAATATTAAAATAAAGTTAAAGGAAAATTAATCTGTGTGGATTAAGATATAAGCATACCTGCGTGTTTCTGGTTTTCTTCTGTGAATTTTAACTTTGTATGCTTAAATACATAGCAAAGAATGGGTGGATCTTAAAAGCACTCTTGGAGCTCACTCAGTTCTTTTCAGCAAATAACGTGTTAAAAACAAATCTGAAAGCTATACAGATTTTTGCCAGGCGATTAAAGAACTGTTATATACTCTAGAAGATACCTGCAAAGGTGGAAGATGGATGGTTGCAGGGAAATACGCCTGTTCATCCATAAAAGAAAATTCAGAAACTAAAGAGGAAGCAGTCCTAGCGCTCAAGTACTGGAGGTCACTTGGAACAGTGAAGCCATTGGCTTCTGGGCAGGCTCTGAAACCATTTCTCTTCATCCTTCAAGGGCACTTCTCATGGGAGAGGCAGCAGTTCCCAAACCTGCCTGTCAGGACTGAGCTGGCTCACCACATAGTCAGGTGGCCAGCAGAGACAGTGCAAGTGGGGACTGAAGAGAGAGAACAGGGGAGCAAGATCTGCCCTTTTGCTGGCAGTACATTTAATTTGTGTCGTCCAACCGTATCTGTACTGGGACTGAGAACAGTAAGAAGGTGGCAGTGGGGCTGTATCCGCCTTTGGAGTTGTGCTGTCAGCAAATTCATTTGCAAATTCAAGCTCAGAATGATGAAATTCTCCTCTGTCATTTTATCACTAAGTCTATGAAGTTGTTTGCCAGAGATTTCTCTTTCCATGTATTTTTAAAGACTTACTAGAGGAAATACCTCATTTCTGCTAGATGGGATTATTACTGAGATTATTATTCTGGCCTCACTTCTGCACCAGAGCAGTGAATCATTTAAGAAAGGTGGAAGGTTTTTGGCTTCCCATGCCTTGATAATTGACTAATAAGTGATTTTTAGAAGAAGCAGATTTAGGTGCTCTGGGTCTATAGCAGCAGTAGAAAAAATCGTTCTTCTTATAAAGGCAGTCTAACCTGGTTTTGGATTCTCCTCATTGTCACTAGAAATTGGGAAAATAAAAATTTCGTGTACTTTTAAACTTAGAAGTTGAGATCATCTCCCTCTGAACACCAACGCCTTTTTAGAGGTCTAACATTGCATGTTTCAAGTTAGGATTAAAGATAATATGAAAAAACTCCAACTTCACTCCAAATAATTATGTTAATCAGGTAAAATCATATAGTTTGAAAATTACAGGATCTGCCAGTTTCCAAATGCAGTACTTTTAAACGGAATTTAAGGAATAAGCCATTTACTAAAATGAAGATGAGACTTCAATTTTCCAAATGCAGTACTTTTAAACAGAAGTTAAGGAATAAGCCATTTAGTAAAATGAAGATGAGACTTTGGTTTGCTTAGAGAAAGCTCCTGTCTTTCAGCCGTAGTTTCGTGCTTTGTTATGCAGAAAGTCTAAATGTTACAGAAAATTTCTTACTTCTTGTTTTACCTTTTAAAGATCCTGAGGTGGTTTTGCTTTCTTGCACTAAAATTTCCAGCAGAGGGAGCTTTACTATTATGTTTAGTAAAAAAAAACAGCTTTACTGAATAATTTTCATCTACAGTCTGAAAAAATGTGAGACCGTTGTGGGTTTTTTTTTTTATGGTGTGAATTCATGACATCTTAATATATAACAATATAAAAGGGGCAGAAAGGGCTTTACTGAATAATTTTCATCTACAGTCTGAAAAAATGTGAGACCGTTGTGGTTTTTATTTTTTTAATGGTGTGAATTCATGACATCTTAATATAACAATATAAAAGGGGCAGAAAGAGCAAACCCTTTCCGAGAAAGAACATTTCCATACATAGTGTTACAGAAAAAGGGACAGGGAATAAAATTCCAGGAAAACTTCTCCTTTTCCCAAAAAAACATAGTCTTTGAATTTCCCTTTTCAAGCGTGATCTCATCAAGATTTCCAGGCTTCACAGTCTTTCCTTGTTGTGATGGAGTGCCAGGGATGGACACACCAATAATCTTTATTGCTTTGGAGAAGCTCTCATTCTTTTTCCTGGCACAGACAATGAATTAAATGAACAAAATGTAAATGTGGAAAGATGATTATTCTGTCACAAGATAACACAATTATAGTGTTCTCTGTATTTAATGCAGGGTTCATTTGGTAGCTGAACAGAATACTGAAACCTATTCTGTTACTGTTCCAGTCTATTAATTTTTGGGTCATAACAGTGCACGTGCAGATACTCAGAAATTAAGATGAGACTATTCTACTTGAAAATGCATATATATGTAAACACAGTGATTTTGAATTAATTGCAGTGTGTAAACTCCCATACTGCTGATTGTTGGCTGATATTTTGTGTACATATGATCAGTGCATTGCTTTGCATTTATGTTAGAAAATATATTGCATATTGAACCATTCAGAATTCTTGTCTGTATATTTTTTTAGTGCTTCATTGCCTGTTTTCTTATTTATTTTGTTCTTAATTGATAAATTTAATTCATTAGTTGATACATTTTTTAACTGATAAAACATTGCTTTTTTGAGGCTGATGTCATTTCACTGTCATTTGGCTATGAAAAAGCAGGTTATAATGTATATATCAGCATATTTGTTGTTAACTTTGCCTCTACATTTTCAGAGACAGACGTATATACTTTTGGACTTGGACAGTATGGGCAGCTGGGACACGGTACTTTTATTTTTGAAACGTCAGTACCAAAGTCTGTGAAACACTTGAGGAGGCATAAAATATGTAACGTTACGTGTGGGGAAAATCATACTGCTGTAGTTGCAGGTATGTAAGTGAAAAAGTCTGAAATACACTTCCAGTGACTCTGTATTATACTGTAAAATCTTTCTTTATAAAATGAGGAGTAGAAAAGACATTTGCAGGTTTACTAGTTCTAATGGTTAAATGAGTGAGTGAGAAGGCCAGATTTGATATAAGGAATTTCTGATCACAGCCATGCCATGCGTAGTTCTGTACATGCTGTCTCCTGGCAAATTCTAACCTCATAATCACACCTTCTGGTTTAGAAGCCTTTGTTTTGCTATACAATTTCAATCTTAGTGTTTTCTTATTGTTTCTTTTTTCCACAATTGTCTAGACTAACTCTGATCTCTGATGTTACTTTGACTGAAAAAAAAAAAATATATATATATTTGGATCATAATCATCTGTTGAAAATCTGAAAATAATTGTTCAAGTTTTGCTTTTGCAAGAGAAATATTCCTTACTTACATGGCGTGTTACTTTTATTGTGATGGTTTTGTCCTTGTTTCGTACTGAATCTTTGTTATTAATAGCATCCTTTTTATTTTCTTTATACAGATAACGGCCTCATGTTTACTTTTGGGGATGGACGACATGGCAAGTTAGGACTTGGAGAAGAGAATTTTACAAATCAGTTTGATCCCACTCTGTGTTATAATTTCTTGAGGTTCACAGTCCTTTTGGTAAAACGTCTCATGCTTCTCAGACATCAAAATGTTTATATTTTTATGAAACACAGTATTAATGAGAGTTGAAATCTCAATATACATTTTTTTCCTACAACATTTAATTAGTAGACAACACAAGTTAAAAGAAAAAGGAAATTATAATTACGTATCACACTGTTCATTTAGTTTAGAATGTACTTGGCTTGGACTACTTGTATAGACTGCTTTTTAGGGTTTTTTTTCAGTAGTGTTGTGCTACAGTGTTTTGGTCTACAGAGCTGGTAGTAGCCTATAAAATTAAATAGTTGTTGCTCTTAGGTTGTTGGTAGTATGGGGGAAAGTAGTGTCTATTCTGAAAACACCAGAGATTTTTAATTTTAATGATTATTTGTGCAGTGGGATATTTACTAAATCTTAAGAAAATTTGAGGAGTTGCTTTTTTGAGTCTGAATGGGATGAGAAAGGAGAAATACTGTTTTCTTTGAAGGGCATTGCTGTCATCTGTTTCCTGAGGTGTTTAAGAAATAAATATCACAGAACTGCCAGCATCAAAAATACAAACATGACACAGGATTGAACAAAGTTTGGGACTAAGTCTGTAGCTCACTTCTGTTTGTTTACTGCACTTAGAGGTTAAGGAAGTTTTATGAGAAGTGCTAAGGGATTTAAACTTTTCAGAAAGTGGAATCTCTGATCTTTATGTAATTAAACTTTCTCTGTTGGAGGGTGTAGGACTTTACATTAAATTTTGTGGGTTTTGTGATGAAATATCTATGCTTGTATCGCTAAAGTATTGCCCACATTTGGCTTGCATAAAAATAATTAGCTCAAATCCCTTCAAAATCAGTGGAAATATCTTTGCTTTCTTCTGTATCAACAGTTTGATAGACCTATCTTTTGGTGTGTTCAATACAAATATGTCGTATTTAAGTAGGAAGAAATGAACATAGATCCCTAGTCATTAAGAATTGTAATTATGTACTTTTGTCTTGCTAACATCATTAGGAGCTAAATTTGAAGCAATTTAACATCTCTTACTTTTATTACATTTTTCTTATACTCTAAGTCCCTAGAGATGATTGTAAGAAAATTAGATCCTTGTATTGATACTTGCAAATGAAATAAGCAGTCCCTTTTTTGGTGCTATAGGTTGCTTGTGGTGGTTGTCACATGCTAGTTTTTGCTGCTCCAAGACCTAAAGGATCTGAAGAAACACTCTTAGAAGATTTATATGAGAGCCATTTGACTGCTACTATCTCTAAAATGAGTGGAGACCCACTACTAACAAACACCTTACAACTAACATCAGCACGAATACGACGTCGGGAGAGGGTAAATTCAGAGCTCTTTAGAGTTGCCATACTTGTTTTAGGAAACAAAATAACTTTAAAAACTAAAATCACAGCATATGCCCAGCAGATAAATATATCTCCTTAAAATACTTGTTAGATTTTAATTTATATAAAGAAGCATTAATATCTACACTGGTACCAGAATTGATGCAGGTGAAAGATAGGAATTGGTCAGATTTTACTTGTTTATATCTATGAAAAAGACTCAAATTGTTGTTTTTTTGTTTGTATGTTTGTTTTTTAATTCTATAACGTAGAGCCTGTTCCCTTGTATTTTTGAAAGTATCTTAGAAATATGAAAAAAACCCCACCAAGAATCTGACTCTTTTTGATGTTCCCGCTCTATCTTTGTGTAGATTAAACAAGTTCATAGTTTATAAAATAGCGAAGTTTCACAATCAACTTTAAATGATCCTAACATCCTGTAGCTACTGAAAATAGTAGTTTCTTCTCCTTTATCTCCATTGCATATTCCTTGTAATTTCTTTAGCAGCACAATGAATTAGATCATTTCACTTACCTGTCTGAAAAGTAACTCTACCACAAAACCACATTTGTTTTGTAAAAATATATTGATGCTGTGGATAAGGTATTAGTGTTATTTGAAACACTAGTGTTTTCATTTTAAATAAAAATCAAAATTCTTTTAATCCTTTATCTATATTTTAAGACAGCTTGAGATTATTTTTTAGAAACGACCTAAAATATCCCAGTAGGTCTCTCCACTTTTTAAAAATAATTAAAATACTCAAGAAATTTTGTTTATGCTGTGCATACGAAGTTGCAACACTGTACCATCAACTAAAGGAAAATACCACTATGAAGTATGAGAGGTTGCTTACATTTTATTCTTCTAGTTTTATTCTCAATATTTTTTTTTAATCTTCTAAAGGAAAAGTCACCAGAACAGTTTATTCGAATGGCACGAACTCTGCCTCCACTGGGAGAAAGGTTCTTAAAATCTTCATTGCCTGTGACTAGCAACACTAGCCCCCTCTGGTTTTCTGCAACAAGTCTTCCTAAAGCTGAACCTGGGAAGGATAGAGACCATGAAAAAGGTAAAGTGTCCCCCCATCTCATTGCTGGTTTCTGAGAACTATATAGTTTGGCTGTCATAATTTATAAACAAACACTCAGTTTGAACATGAAAGAAGGTTTGAGCTCAGTCTTACCTCAAGAGGGTCTGGCAGAATACAGACATGAAAGTTGAGAAATGCATACAAGAAATTGCTTCACATGTGGTTCATGTTTAGAAAACACACGTAAAGATTTGGAGGAGAGTTGAGTGAAAGAAAAACAACTTCTGAATTGTACCCGAGGTTCCTCAAGCCTGTAGAAATATGGCTTCACAAAAATACTGTGAGGTTAGGAACTACTTTCTCCATTTTCATGAAAAAAAAGTAATTACAGAAAAAAATTGATTAGGAACAGTTGTAAAGACACAGGAAGGCCTAGAAGAGACCATGGATAAGAAAAGAGGCCTACCAATTCTTATGGGAGCTTTCTTCACTTGGAAATGCAAAAGTACTCCTCACTCTCTGTTGTCTAAGATAATAAGGATTTGCAATATTCTAGCTAATGCAAAAAACTGGATAACGATACTGATACAGTGCTGGACTTTTGCACAGATATTCTAGAGCAGTTCTGGACTTTATCTGGGTTCCCAGGCGTGTGTGAGTTCCTGCTGAAGATTACAGAATGCTGTGCTTCTGTGTAAAAGTTAGCTCAGATTTATTGGAGAGTCAAATCCAATTTGAAAGTAATTAATTCAGTCAGAATTAAGGTGATTATTTGTAAAGCTGCCAGCATTAGCATTTCTTATTCCAGGAAAGCAATGCAGTGAAATTTGAATTGCCTTTAGAGTCTTCTGAGGCCTAAAAGCAGTTTTTTGTGCCATATAAAACTGGCCATATACCTGATGAACTTGAGGTGAACCTGAAAATGATGTAGGTACATTTTTATGATGCTGCACTGGGGTTAAACTCACTGTCTCTCCATCCATTACACAGATAACGTGCACTGTAGATAATATGACTGCAGCTAATTTAGTCTAATTGGTACACTATTATTAAAGAGATTATCCAAAAGAAGCTTTGTTCCATGTAATATTTATGCTTTGAAAGCCTGCAAAAATGGTCAGAGATCTACAGTGCACTAAGGCCAGATTTTGCTGAGCTACCTGCAATGTTAATACTGATGAAAAGGAGGTGGAAGTATTTCTGCTGTGTCTTAGGCTGGAGGAATGAGGAAACTCAGGACTTCAGTCCCATGTCAGTAAAATAGAGATTATTTCTGTTTTACGAGAGTGGGGTGTTGTTTGCTGTGTATCACCTGTTACTATGGTATTTGTTTACTTCCCTCTATTTTACCTTAAAGAAAAGAATCATCAAAAAGATAAACCTGGTGAATCCTCTGCAGAAGAAGATTCAGATAATGAAAATAATGACAAAAACCTTGGAGATACAACTGATGTCCTAAATATGGTAAAATATATTCCACTAATGAATCTGTAATTCAGGCATTTTTATGCAGGGGGAAAAGAAAGCAGCTAAATCACATTTCAGGTTCTAGTGCAGAACTCCTGGCTAGCCCAGGAGTCATATGGGGCATCAAGAAGTAGTGATATACTGTTGAATGAGCATGCATTTCGTATCATCATTATCCAATGCTGAAGTTTGTTTTCATTTTCCAAGTAATGTTGTAATATGAGATTGAAGCAGTCCAAATAGTGCAGCCCCTCTCCTTGATTTAGCTCTGGGTACTAGAAAGAAAAGGTAAAAGCCACTGGATACCACATGGTGATCTCTATCTCTGACCTTCCTCACCTTGATGATTTCCAAGAGGAATGAGCATGCATTTCGTATCATCATTATCCAATGCTGAAGTTTGTTTTCATTTTCCAAGTAATGTTGTAATATGAGATTGAAGCAGTCCAAATAGTGCAGCCCCTCTCCTTGATTTAGCTCTGGGTACTAGAAAGAAAAGGTAAAAGCCACTGGATACCACATGGTGATCTCTATCTCTGACCTTCCTCACCTTGATGATTTCCAAGAGAGAGAACTGCAGGAAATGTAGCAGAAAGCTGTCTTTTCCTGTTCCAATAAGAGCTTTTTATTATAGGTGGATATTAAAGAGAAGATCAAAATGCAGACATTTTGATTATTTGACGATTCCTAAGCATGTTGCTATGTATTTCTCTTATTTAAAATATTCACCTTATCATTTGTACACCTTTACAAACATTTCGGAAGAAAGGCTATGTCCTGGCCTAGGATGCAGTACAGAAAGAATGTTGGGATTTGTCTTTTTTTTTTTCACTTCAATGGAATGGAAACAAATGAGCAACTCACTGTGGATTCGGCTCAGGATGTGTTGTCAGTTATGCCAGAGGGATTGCACATTTTACAGGAATTATTACTTGTTTGTACTTAACAGTACCTAGTAATTTAACAATCTGTGCATACCATTTATTTAACAGTTAGAAAACTTTATTTTCATTTACAAGAAAAAAAAATATTTCCAGATATCATGCATAACATGGCAGTCATTATTTATAACATACTGCACACTTTTTGTGCTAGACTTTTTTCTCCTTTTGGTTTTTCTGCCCATTTTGAATAAATTTTAAAACATTTATCAGAATGGATCAGTAAATTTGAAAAATTCTGTCGGGCAAACTTGTCATAATACAAAGAAAAATGATTGCTCTTGAATCTGAATGAAAATAACCTGTTACAGCATAGTTGTTTCAATTTTTCTAAGCTGTGGCAACATACATCATATTGACAAGCGTGACAAGAAGAGGCAAAACCTTTAATAACCATATTGATGATACAAATTCTTGAGAGTCAGAGACCAGAACTGTCCATGCTCACTGTGTTGAAAAACAATATGGTGGTTAAACCATAAGCAGTTAACGAACAGAAGCAGAGAACATTATCTTGTCATTTGGAGTATATGGGAAGGGATGACCAAAATCTCACTGTACGTGCCCACCTAGTGGTATTCCACACTGCCTTGCCTTTTATTTTTTTGCTTTATATAGAAGAGATAGAGGCATTAGATTCCAGTGAAAATTTATGCTGTATAATGGTTCTTTGAACATGTTCCTTCAAGGCTGTGGTATCAAACTGGATATTAAGTTGAAGGTTGTGATGATAAGGTTGTAAGCAGTTATATTTGTAGCCACAACTTCACGGTGAGTGGAAAGTGGATCTAAAATGTGCTGGCAGGCTATAAGAGAGGGCATGTAGCTTTCAGTCTCTACAGGCAGTTTAGATGTTGACATCTAAGCTGATTACCACTCTCTTTATAAGGAGTAAATAAGGGAAGTGAAATAGGTGAGTTGAGTGCTTATACAGATTTGTCTCAACCTGACTATGCAATAGGATTAAAATGTTCATATAACTTAAAATTGCTCTGTTTAGTAGAACTGGACTTTGATGCTGCTTTCCCTATTTATTTATTTGTTTGTTTGTTTGTTTTCCCTATATTTATTTTTTTAATAGAGATCTTATTCTTTGCAGACGCATGCAATGAAATTGAATCCCAGTGACCAGTCCTTGAAATTATCTCCACTCCAAAAACAAAAGGTACTGTAACTAATTATATATATGTATACTTACACTCACGTTTAAAAGATCTATAATTCTTGTTTTGCTTTAAGTTTTAAAAAAGCTAGGCAAATTTTATGGGCCTCCTCTTGCTAATTTTCTGAATATCCATGAAGTAAAATTATAAGAAGCTGACAAAAGTCAGAGAGAATCAGTTCATGCACATAGAACTTCTCACACCCAGCATAGTTTGAGAGGAGAGTATATAATACTTCGCCAGTTTAAGGAACAAAAGACTATCATATACATTTTGTAAGTTATGTTGATAACATACATGTCTACTGGTTTGTTGATATTAAAATATTATAACTGACTTTTGGGACACAATGTAAGTAAAGATTTTATTTACAGAAATTCACCATGGAGTATATGGAGTATGTTTAAAGGAGCAATAATACTGGTTTTAAATATGAAATTAAAATACTTTTGTATTATCTTTCTATTTAATTCCTAAAGTGATCCCAGCATTTCAGTTTTTTGTTATATTTCTTTATAATTTTGTTTTATATTAAAAAAGCTGCAGAATTTGTTAAGTAATTGTAAAATTTAAAGCAGAAAGACAACAGATTTTCAGACTTGCTAGAACAAGCATAACAGTGAGTGCATCAGAAGATTTCCCAAGGGGGAAGGTGGTGGAAGGTGTAAGAGAACTGTAGTTCTTTCCTTCTGTTTGCACAGCCTCACACATTGCATGTGCTCTACTTTATGGGACATGATGCAGGCTGCACAGTTCTTCTTGCATCCACTTGGAATGCCTGGATAGTGAAAAAGGAGTAGTAGTACCTTTATCATCAACAGGCTGTTACATTCTTGTAATACGTACATTTGTAAATTCATTTCATGTGAAAGGCTCTACCTTTTATGCTTTTAGTCCCCTCATACAAACTGTTTCTTTTCTTGTTCAGATATTTTTGTAACTTTTTTCTTTTGCTGTCATTTGTCCTTAATGCTTTCCTTCTTTCTTTTTAATTTTCTGCTTCTCGTGTGGAATAGAAGAACAATAAAAATGTGAAACTGAAAAGAGATGGTAAGGGTGGGCTGAAAACCAAGGGGTCTGATTTCATGAAGGAGGGCTCAAAAGTAGGCTCTGGCTCTTTACAAAAGCAGTCTTCACTTTCAGAATCACCGGGACAAGATTTAGAAAAAAGTAGTGCCTTTGTAGGGAAGCCTGTGGCCAAAAAAAATACAATGAAAGGTAAATCTGAGGATGCACAAAGTGTTAGTACTTTGAAAAGTGGTGTTCAACAAACTGCTAGGGACAAATGCAGATTAGCGAAAAGGGAAAAAGAATATGTGGAAAATCCTGAATTTGTCAAAGAGGAAGTAACTTACAGTCCTCCCACTGAAAAACAAATTCTGACTGAAAAACCAAATTCTTCCAATAAAACCTCAAAAGCTGTTAAATCTAAGCAGTCCCTTAAAATAGATGTACTTCCTTCTGCATCTAGGGATCAGCCCCAGACTGATTCATTAATTGTGCAAAAATACAATCCTATTAAAAAGCAAGGAAGTCAAGAAGCAGTAGAAGGTCGAAACAAAACAAAGGATGTTGAAAAATCTGATAAATGTGAAAAAATATGTGTCAGAGGAGAAGACAATAGTGAAGAGCAGAGGGGTTTTAAAAGAAAGGATCCATTTTTAAAACAAATAGCTGTAAATATGTCACCATCTTCATCTGAGGAAAGTAGTAACGATCTTGCAAAAAACATACATAAGAGTCGGGAAAAAGGAGAGGACTACTATGAAAACAGAGCGATCCAGAAGGCAGTGAAAACAGTAGAAAATTTAAAAGAACTGGACTTTGAAAAAGATGACAGTGAGATTGAGGAAATGCAAGCTACAAACAATGAGAAAGAATACATTGAAGAGAATGATACAAGAAGTCTGAATGATGAAGAAACAAACTCTGAAGCTAAATCTGATGAAGACAGGCAGTTGGAAATTAGGAATGAAGAGGAATCTAATCAAGAGCAGGAGAGTGAGGGCAGTGAAAAGGGTGAAAGTGAAAAAGAAAAACCAGATGAAACAGTTGACAGTGAAGGTGAAGTAGGAGAGGAAGAAGAAGAGAGTGAGGTTAAAAAAGAGAGAGATGAAGCTTCAGTAGAAAAAGAGGAAGATGAAGAGGAAAAAGACAATGAGGAAGAAAATGAAAGAGAGAAATCACAACCTGAAAGAGACAGCGAGAATGAGGGTGCAGAAGAGACTGAAGATATTAATCAGGAAGATGGCAAAGAGCAAGGAGATGAGGAAGGCGGGTTGATGGAGGAAGAAGAAATGTTGAGTGAAGAAGAGGATATGGAGGAGGAAGAATATGCAAAAAAGGAAGACACTGAAAAAGAAAAGGAAGAACAAGTTCAAAGTGAGGGAAGAGATGAGAATGAAGAAGGAGGTGAAGATAGAGAAGAGGAGGAAGAAAAAGAGGTAGAGGCAGAAGAGGATGGAGAAGATGAAAAGGAAAATGAAGAAGAAAACAAAGAAAGGGAGACTGAAAAAGACAAAGAGGGTGAAGAGGAGGAGTTAGAAGAATCATTGGCAGGGAGGGAAGAAGAAGAGGTATCCAAAGAACAGGAAGAGGAAGATGCAAATAGAAGAAATAAGGGGGAGGGAGAGGATGGAGTGGAAGAAGAAGAGGGGGAGGATGAAGTGGAAGAGGAAAAAGAAGATGATGAGGAGGACAAGGAAGGAGCAGAGGCAGAAGCAAAAGGGGAGGAGGTGGAAAAAGATGAAAACAAGGAGGAAGAGGAGTGGGAAAATGAAGAAGAGGGAGAAGAAGAAGGAGAAGATGAAGAAGAAGAAGGGGTGGAAGAAGGTGAGGGAGAAAGGGTGGAAGAAGATGAAGAAGGAGAGGGGGTGGAAGAAGGTGAGGGAGAAAGGGTAGAAGAAGATGAAGAAGGAGAAGGGGTGGAAGAAGGTGAGGGAGAAGGGGTGGAAGAAGATGAGGGAGAAGGGGAGGAAGAAGAGGAAGTGGAAGAAGAGGAGGAAGTGGAAGAAGGCGAGGGAGAAGAGGGAGTGGAGGAAGAAGATGAAGAAGAGGAAGAAGATGAAGAAGAGGAAGAGGGAGCAGAGGAAGAAGAGGGAGAGGAGAAGGAGGAAGGGGAGGAAGAAGAGGAAGAGGAGGAAGACGCAGAAGTGGAAGAGGAAGAGGAGGAAGAAGAAGGGGAAGAAGGAGAAAAAGAGGAAGAGGGAGAGGAAGAACCAGAAGGGGAAGAGGGAGAGGAGGAAGAAGGAGAAGAGGAGGAAGGGGTTGTGAGAGAGGAGGAAGAAGAGGATGAGGGAGAGGAGGAGGAAAGAGAGGAAGAGGAAAAAGCAAAAGGTAAAAGAAAAAAATATATTAATAAGCTTCCACAAAAGAAAAGCAAAACCAGGAAGCCAGGGAAGACAGAAAGTAATGCTTTACCAAACAGCTCTACACAAAAAACGAAGTCCAAACAACTTGTAGCAAATGGTTTACATAATTCAGAACAATTTTGGAACAATGTGCTACCTCATTATTTAACACTAAAGTAGCAGAGACTACTGGAGATACAGTAAGCCTATTCAGGAAACTTTGGAACTATGACAGATTGATTTTTATAACTTACAGGGTGTTTTTTTTAATATAGTCAAAATATATTATTATGTATGTACTTTAAGTGCCAATTTATTGAAAAGGACTGAAGAAAATGTTTGGATTTGGGAAGCTTTTATGAGATAAATCATATAAATTTTTGATACAGTCATTTACACAATCATCTTTATCATGTGTGACAGATTTAAAAAATAACTGCTGAGGAGGCAAAATGTGTTTGCCTCTTAATTAAATTATAATGTCATGCTGACAACATGAATTATACATTGTAACAGTGTAATCTTCTTTGCCTTTGCATCAGATTTCTTAAGGTAATGCATTAGTTTTAGTTGTAGCATAGCTTACCCGTTAATGTGCCTTATACAAAAGGAGTGTCAGTAAATCACCAAAGATACATATTTTTTAATTTTGCTATCACTTCATTCCCCCTACTTTCCTTCTGTTCATGTATTGGTAAAATGTTCGAGTACTCAGCATAAATTAAAGTAAGGACAAGTTGCCAAATTTACATGGGTTGGCAAAGGGCAATACAAGCCTGGGTAAACGGTGGCCTAGGTTTTTTTGAAGGCCTTACGGTTGACTTCTTAGTTTGGTGTCCTCACACAGTTATGTGCAAAAAGATGAACATAAGTCTCAGAATCTGGCCTAGATTACATTAGAATCATAGAATCATTCAGGTTGGAAGAGACCCTTGGGATCATCGAGTCCAACCATCTACCCTACTCTACAAAGTCCTCCCCTACACCATATCCCTCAGTACCCCATCTAAACGTCCCTTAAACACATCCAGGGATGGTGACTCAACCACCTCCCTGGGCAGCCTGTTCCAATGCCCGACCACTCTTTCTGTGAAAAATTCCTTCCTAATGTTTAGTCTAAACTTACCCTGTTGGAGCTTGAAACCGTTCCCTCTCGTTCTATTGTTAGTTACCTGTGAGAAGAGACCAGCACCAACCTCTCTACAGTGTCCTTTCAAGTAGTTGTAGAGAGTGATGAGGTCTCCCCTCAGCCTCCTCTTCCTCATACTAAACAGTCCCAGCTCCTTCAGCCGTTCTTCATATAGAGTCAAAATACATCTATTTAGGGGTAATTTTTGACTCTCACACTTGGTGATTAGACATAATTAAAAATTTGAAAATATACACCTGTGAAGCATTATTTACTTGTGTATTCTGTGCAATAAACAAAAGATTCAATATCTGCCTATGAAAGACTAAATAAGATTACTCATCTAACTCTAAGGTTCTCAAGGTGGGCAATATACTTTATTGCAGTGTGACTGGTATATATGTTTTCAGGATCAGAGCCTAAGCTTCTCCTTATTGGAGGAGATTTGTGGTTTTCCCTCCAAAAATCACATCTGTGATCTCCAAAAAGAGGATGTAATAAACCAAGAAGACAGATAGAACAG